TGCTAGAAATCATTGAAAATCTTCACAATTAGCAATAAAGCCTTCAGAAATTGCACTGAAATTTCACACAAATCGCAGCCGTCTGACCGGTGACTTATACTCTATGTAATAAAGTCCTTTATTAGTGAATAGTCCTTCCTTCCTGAACCATTGTGCACCTGTACCCCCCCCCCATGATTCATGTAATCCCCCCCATGATTCATGTAATCCCCCCCATGATTCATGTAATCCCCCCCATGATTCATGTAATCCCCCCCATGATTCATGTAATCCACCCATGATTCATGTAATCCCCCCCATGATTCATGTAATCCCCCCCCATGATTCATGTAACCCCCCATGATTCATGTAACCCCCCATGATTCATGTAATTCCCCCATCCCCATGATTCATGTAATCCCCCCATCCCCATGATTCATGTAACCCCCCCATGATTCATGTAACCCCCCATGATTCATGTAACCCCCCCATGATTCATGTAATTCCCCCATCCCCATGATTCATGTAATCCCCCCCATGATTCATGTAATAACATCCTTTATTAGTGCACAGTCCTTCCTTCCTGAACCACTGTGCACATGTAATCCCCCCCATGATTCATGTAACCCCCCATGAATGATTCATGTAACCCCCCATGATTCATGTAACCCCCCATGATTCATGTAATTCCCCCATCCCCATGATTCATGTAATCCCCCCATCCCCATGATTCATGTAACCCCCCCATGATTCATGTAACCCCCCATGATTCATGTAACCCCCCCATGATTCATGTAATTCCCCCCATCCCCATGATTCATGTAATCCCCCCATCCCCATGATTCATGTAATCCCCCCCATGATTCATGTAATAACATCCTTTATTAGTGCACAGTCCTTCCTTCCTGAACCACTGTGCACATGTAATCCCCCCCATGATTCATGTAATCCCCCCCCCCCCCCCATGATTCATGTAATCCCCCCATGATTCATGTAATTCCCCCATCCCCATGATTCATGTAATCCCCCCATCCCCATGATTCATGTAACCCCCCCATGATTCATGTAATCCCCCCATGATTCATGTAATAACATCCTTTATTAGTGCATAGTCCTTCCTTCCTGAACCACTGTGCACATGTAATCCCCCCCATGATTCATGTAATCCCCCCCCCCCCCCCCCCATGATTCATGTAATCCCCCCATGATTCATGTAATTCCCCCATCCCCATGATTCATGTAACCCCCCCATGATTCATGTAATTCCCCCATTCCCATGATTCATGTAATCCCCCCATGATTCATGTAATCCCCCCATGATTCATGTAACCCCCCCATGATTCATGTAATCCCCCCATGATTCATGTAATAACATCCTTTATTAGTGCATAGTCCTTCCTTCCTGAACCGCTGTGCACCTGTAATCCCCCCATGATTCATGTAATCCCCCCCCATGATTCATGTAATCCCCCCCCCATGATTCATGTAATCCCCCCCATGATTCATGTAATCCCCCCCCCCATGATTCATGTAATCCCCCCCCATGATTCATGTAATCCCCCCATGATTCATGTAATAACATCCTTTATTAGTGCATAGTCCTTCCTTCCTGAACCACTGTGCACATGTAATCCCCCCCATGATTCATGTAATCCCCCCCCCCCCCATGATTCATGTAATCCCCCCATGATTCATGTAATTCCCCCATCCCCATGATTCATGTAACCCCCCCATGATTCATGTAATTCCCCCATTCCCATGATTCATGTAATCCCCCCATGATTCATGTAACCCCCCCATGATTCATGTAACCCCCCCATGATTCATGTAATCCCCCCATGATTCATGTAATAACATCCTTTATTAGTGCATAGTCCTTCCTTCCTGAACCGCTGTGCACCTGTAATCCCCCCATGATTCATGTAATCCCCCCCCATGATTCATGTAATCCCCCCCCATGATTCATGTAATCCCCCCCATGATTCATGTAATCCCCCCCCATGATTCATGTAATCCCCCCCCATGATTCATGTAACCCCCCCATGATTCATGTAATAACATCCTTTATTACTGCACAGTCCTTCCTTCCTGAACCGCTGTGCACCTGTAATCCCCCCATGATTCATGTAACCCCCCCCCCCCCCCATGATTCATGTAACCCCCCCCCCCCATGATTCATGTAATAACATCCTTTATTACTGCACAGTCCTTCCTTCCTGAACCACTGTGCACCTGTAATCCCCCCCCATGATTCATGTAATCCCCCCATGATTTATGCAATCCCCCCCATGATTCATGTAATCCCCCCCCATGATTCATGTAATCCCCCCCACCACCCCCCCCCCCCCATGATTCATGTCATAACATCCTTTATTAGTGAATAGTCCTTCCTTCCTGAACTGCTGTGCACCTGTAATAACCCCCCCCCCCCCCCCCCCCCGATTCATGTAATCCCCCCCATGATTCATGTAATCCCCCCCCTGTTTCATGTAATCCCCCCCCTGTTTCATGTAATCCCCCCCATGATTCATGTAATCCCCCCCCATGATTAATGTAATCCCCCCCATGATTCCCTGTGTACCCACATCCCACCACCATCCACTATGTCTTTGCACTCCATGATCCACACCCAACTATCTCCTGTGTACCCGCACCCAATCATCCACTGTGAGCCAACCCCCCCAATGAATAGATGAGCGACCACCCACACTGACCCTCAGCTAAGGAGAGATGAATATGTGCGGTTTGGCAGGAGGATTAATGCTGAAGTTTAGGTATGTCACTGCCCCGCCTCTTCACATCATCCTTTTACCCTCGGTTCACATCTGTGTGGGTGGTGCCGCGAAAATACCTGCAGCCGCACCACCCGCACAGAGAAATGCGGACCCGCGGGCGGGTGCCATTAGTTCTAATGGTACGCCGCCTGCACTGGAAAACAAAACCGTACTGGGAACCGAGGCTGCAGTTTCCAAAGAAGTGCAGGGACTTCTTCCTTGCGTGTCACGGGAGTCCATTCAAATGAATGGGCTCTCGTGCCCGTGCAAAACGTGGCCTGCACGGCCGCATGGATGTGAACCGGGGGTTAGATCAGCATCTACTGAAAAAAAAAAAAAGAAGGCATTCTCTGATTGGCGCCCATGCCGAGCAAATGACCTCTTATGTTCACTATGCAGCAGGGCAGAGACTTGGGGTGGGACCCAGAAGCCAGTTTCCACAGGTTTCCCACAGGTATGGTCCCTACATACTTACATTGGTCCAAGCTGGACCAAAGAAACAATTCTGGGGAAAAAGCAAGCCCTGCATGAACTTGAGACTACCCCAACATTTGTATCAGAATTATTATCAGCAAATTAGTCATATATGTAATACTGACTACATAAACATAACATTTAACTAGGCTTCACTGGATAAAAAAAACAAAAAACAAACAAAAAAAAAAGATACAATCACCTGCCTATACATAATAAACACGGACTACCCTCACAGTAGGATTTGCTCCTTCATCACCTCCCCCTGGCAGGAGTGCACCATGGGTAATTTTTGGTGTCTTAATTTACCTGTGTCACTATCCCTCTCCCATGTTACCGTGTTTGAGCTCAATGAATGGTTGCTCAGGCCTGAACACAGGCACAGGGAGAACATGCAAACTCCAGGCAGGTGGTGCCGTGGTTGGGATTCAAACCAACGACCCCAGTACTGCCAAGTGGGAGTGTTAACCATTTAGCCACTGTGCTGCCCATACAAAGCGGAGCGTCATTAGAGCAATGGCTCCAATGAAGCAGGGAGACAGCAAAGAGCTGGGACTGGCGAGAATGACCTGCTGGGGGTGAGCTATCAGCACACACTGTCACTTTACTGTGAATGGACAGCGTCCTGTGATCTCAGCTTAGGCCACATGAACAGCACCATCTCTACAGCCTGACCGTGGATAGAAGTTTCCATAATTTTTGCTGAGGACTATGTTGACATTGGAGCCCCAATAGGCAAGCCACTCCTGCTGTATGACCAGGACGGAGCCCCAATAGGCAAGCCGCTCCTGCTGTATGACCAGGACGGAGCCCCAATAGGCAAGCCACCCCTGCTGTATGACCAGGACGGAGCCCCAATAGGCAAGCCGCTCCTGCTGTATGACCAGGACGGAGCCCCAATAGGCAAGCCGCTCCTGCTGTATGACCAGGACGGAGCCCCAATAGGCAAGCCACCCCTGCTGTATGACCAGGACGGAGCCCCAATAGGCAAGCCGCCCCTGCTGTATGACCAGGACGGAGCCCCAATAGGCAAGCCGCTCCTGCTGTATGACCAGGACGGAGCCCCAATAGGCAAGCCACTCCTGCTGTATGACCAGGGCGGAGCCCCAATAGGCAAGCCGCCCCTGCTGTATGACCAGGACGGAGCCCCAATAGGCAAGCCGCTCCTGCTGTATGACCAGGACGGAGCCCCAATAGGCAAGCCGCTCCTGCTGTATGACCAGGACGGAGCCCCAATAGGCAAGCCGCCCCTGCTGTATGACCAGGACGGAGCCCCAATAGGCAAGCCGCTCCTGCTGTATGACCAGGGCGGAGCCCCAATAGGCAAGCCGCTCCTGCTGTATGACCAGGACGGAGCCCCAATAGGCAAGCCACTCCTGCTGTATGACCAGGACAGAGCCCCAATAGGCAAGCCGCTACTGCTGTATGACCAGGACGGAGCCCCAATAGGCAAGCCACTCCTGCTGTAAGACCAGGACGGAGCCCCAATAGGCAAGCCACTCCTGCTGTATGACCAGGACGGAGCCCCAATAGGCAAGCCACTCCTGCTCTATGACCAGGACGGAGCCCCAATAGGCAAGCCGCTACTGCTGTATGACCAGGACAGAGCCCCAATAGGCAAGCCGCTACTGCTGTATGACCAGGGCGGAGCCCCAATAGGAAAGCCACTCCTGCTGTATGACCAGGACGGAGCCCCAATAGGCAAGCCACTCCTGCTGTATGACCAGGACGCCGCTGGTCCAGCTCAGTAGGGGCAGCCAATTAGGTTTTCATCTTCAGATCCTCCCAAGCAGACAGCTTACTTTCATCCATGTTAAAATATTCCTGTCTCTCCTCGCGGTCTCCCGTGCGACGGTTGCGAGAGCGCTGCATGATATGCGCCCGCTCTCCAATATGATGACCGATGCTCATCTGTTCCATCCCGCTGTCTGAATCTCGCATTGTGCGTCTTGTCTCGCGAATCTGGGAGGCAAAAAAAAAAAAAAAAGAAAAAAAGGTCAGCTTACACAAACTGGAACGCTGATCTGCAAAGTCCTGTAACCCATAGCATCCATGGAGATTCCAGGGTATACAAGTCGCATCAGGGAAAGAGGATTCCTATCGGTTTCTATGGGTTACTAAACTTTGAGGTTGGTGTAGACCAGGGGTAGGCAACCTGCGGCTCTATAGCTGTTGTGGAACTACATTTCCCATGAGACATTGCAAAGATTACAAAACTGACAGTTACAGCTATGACTTGCAGAGGCATGATGGAACTTGTAGTCCTGCGGCTCTCAGGTTGCCTAACCCCTGGTCTAGACACAAGATAGAGTCTTGATATAAGATTAGGGGAACTACTCACCCCGCCAGGAGCAGTGCAGGTCTGTGATGTCTCCTGATATACTTTAGGGGCGCCACTGCCCGCCATATTGGAGTAGGATATGACCGTGGAAGAAGAGAATGTCTGACAGTTTGACGCATTGGAGAGTTGCTCCTGTTGGTGAACAACAATAAATACTGATCAATATATTTACAGATCATGTATCAGAAGGATCAATTTATAATAGCTCCAAATATGTGTATATATATATATGTGTATGTATGTATGTATGTATGTATGTATGTATGTATGTATATATACATATACACACATATACACACACACACATATATACATATACACCAGTTAGGTCCATATATATTTGGCAAATTTTCATACTTTTGGCTCTGTATGCCACCAGAATAAATTACAATGAAACAATCCAAATGAATTTGAAGTGCAGACTTTCAGCTTTAATTCAAGGGATTGAACATAAATATCAAGTACAAATTTTAGGAACTGCAACCATTTGTATACACAGTCCCTCCATTTTCAGGGGCTCCAATGTAATTGGACAAATTAATATAATCATAAATAAAATGTTCAATTTTAATATTTTGTTGAGATTCCTTTACTGGCAATGACTGCCTGAACCCATGGACATTACCAAAGACTGGGTTTCCTCCTTTCTGATGCTTTGCCTGAAGTCTGGAACCCATGGACATTACCAAAGACTGGGTTTCCTCCTTTCTGATGCTTTGCTAGGCTCTAACTGCAGCTGTCTTCAGTTGTTCTTTGGTTGGGGGTCTTTCTGCCTTTAGTTTTGCCTTCAGCAAGTGAAATGCATGCTCAGTTGGGTTGAGATCAGGTGACTGACTCAGCCATTGCAGAATATTCCACTTATTTTCCTTCAAAAGCTCCTGGGTTGCTTTTGCAGTGTGTTTTGGATCATTGTCCATCTGTACTGCGAAGCGCCGTCCAATCACCTTTGCTGCATTTGGCTGAATCTGGGCTGACAGTATATCTGTAAACACTGCAAAATTCATCTGTCTTCTGTCACATCATCAATAAACACCAATGACCCAGTGCCACTGGAAATAATGCATGCCCATGCCATCACCCTGCCTCCGCCCATGCCATCACCCTGCCTCCGCCCATGCCATCACCCTGCCTCCGCCATGTTTTACAGATGACGTTGTGTGCTTTGGATCATGAGCTGTTCCAAGCCTTCTCTACACTTTTTTCTTCCCATCATTCTGGTACAGATTCATCTTAGTTTCATCCGTCCAAAGAACGCTTTTCCAGAACTGGTCTGGCTTTTTTAGATGCTCTTTGGCAAAGTCTAATCTGGCTTTTCTATTCTTCAGGTTTATGAATGGTTTGCACCTTGTGGTGAACCCTCTGTATTTGCACCTTGTGGTGACCCCTCTGTATTTGCACCTTGTGGTGACCCCTCTGTATTTGCACCTTGTGGTGACCCCTCTGTATTTGCACCTTGTGGTGACCCCTCTGTATTTGCACCTTGTGGTGAACCCTCTGTATTTGCACCTTGTGGTGAACCCTCTGTATTTGCACCTTGTGGTGAACCCTCTGTATTTGCTCTCGTGAAGTCTTCTCTTGATTGTAGACTGACAATGATACGCCCACCTCCTGGAGAGTGTCCTTCACTTGTCTGGATGTTGCGAATGAGTTTTTTCTTTACCTTAGAGAGGATCCTGCGATCATCCACCACTGTTGTCTTCCATGGACATCCATGCCTTTTTATGTTGCTGGGCTCACCAGTGCGTTCTTCTTTCCTCAGAATGGACCAAACTGCTGATTTGGCCGCTCCTAATGTTGCTGCGATCTCTCTGATGGATTTGTTTAGTTTTTGAAGCCTTACAATGGCCTGTTTCACTTGCATGGGCCGCTCCTTCAAACGCATGATGGAGGTTCACAGCAATAGATTCCAAATGCAAATACCGCACTTAGAATCAACTCCAGACCTTTTACCTGCTTAATTGAGGAAGAAATACCGAAGGAGTAGCCCACACCTGGCCATGAAACAGCTTTTGATTCAATTGTCCAATTACTTTTGGTCCCTTGAAAAAGCGGAGATGGCTACTCTTTAAGAGCTGTAATTCCTGAACCTTTCCTCCAATTTGGATGTACATACCCTCAAATTAAACCGGAGAGTGTGCACTTTCAGTCCATATCCATTATAGAACTAGAGCTGGAATATGTTTTGGTAAATACCTGAAAAAAACTAAAATTGTGCCTGTGTCCAAATCAATCTCTCTCTCTCTCTCTATATCTATATATATATATATATATATATATATATATATATATATATATCTATATATATATATATATATATATATATATATATATACACATATATATATATATATATATATATATATACACATATATATATACACAGAGACAGAGAGAGAGAGAGAGAGAGAGAGAGAGAGAGAGAGACAGACAGACAGACAGACACACGTGTGTATAGAGATGTGTATAGAGATAGATATATATAGACATATATATATATATATATCTATACACACACACACGTATGTGTGTGTGACTGTATCTCTCTCGATATGGATATATACACACACATACGTGTGTGTGTGTATAGAGATATAGATATCTATCTCTCTCTCTCTCTCTCTCTATATATATATATTATCTATCTACCAAATATATATATATATATATAGTATTTTTTATATCACTCATGTGAATGTAATTTCAAAAGCAATTTCTGTAACTTTTAAATCTGCAATGCTGCAAAATCCGGTGATTCTGCCATGAAGGTCATTGTTAAGGTACACCCTGTTATAGGGTGACAACCCCCTGTTCCTGCACTACTGCGTTGTCACCTGTCATTTGCCTTTCCAGGAAAGGCTACAAATCTGCTGAGCCGATGCGCATTACACAGGCGTGTTCCACTGTTGTCAGGATCAGGAAGCCCACCCTGAGCAATGACAAGCGGACTTCGCTGTGTAGGCAGACCGGAAGCAGGACATTGGCAGCACTGGGGTGCAACAAAGGAAACAAAGTATTTTATAAAAAGAACAAAACCATGAAAAATGTTTATGATGCACAGAGCATTAGAAAAATAAAATGTCATCCAGATAGGGTTTACAGCTACTTAAAATTCTCTAATGAAAATTTACTGGATTAAATGGCATTTTTTTATCCGCTTCAAGTTTAGCTACTACAGGGAAAACATTTTTTTTTTTTTTTTTTAAAGTATTTTGTCTATTTAAGCATTTTTAAATATTACTAGTACATTTGTTTGAAATCTCTTTTTACACTGAACCATTCCCATAATCCTCTGCATAGACAAGGAGATTGGGACAAGTAACCGATAAAGGATTTCATAGCTGAAGTGGAACTGCAAATCACAGATAAGACATCCAGGCGGTAAAATCAAAGGCTCCTCTGTACTGTACATTGCTGAAAATCAGAACATGTTTCAGGCATTGCAGGCTTAAAGGAAAAGTGCTTAAGCAAAAGGAGTGCTTGGAAACAAATCTCGCCAATGTGCTCAGTCCTAGTCCAATGAGTGAGCTGGAGGCAGCGAGGAAACCCGAGACGCTGCAGAACTGCGAGCGCGGAACAGTGGTGTCAGACAGCTGAGTATGCAGTATGGCAACTCAGTGGTTGTAAAGGTAAAAGGTTTTTGCCTACCGTGCACTTACAGTTGTGGCCAAAATTATTCAACCCCCAATGCTGTAAAGGGGTTTAGGGACTATAGTGTACATTTGGAATTGTATTCAGAATCAAATCCTACAAGGACGTTGTAACTACCCAAATGCAACTAAAATGACATCAATTGTTTATGTAATACAGTAGTAAATGGTTCTTATGTGGTTTCTTCATTGCCACAATTATTCAACCCCTTAAAGACTACCACTCTGAAGAACAGAGGTTCATACAGGTGCTTTCCATCAGGTATTGAAAACACCTGTGGATGTCACCGAGCAGCAATCAAGCATAATAAGCACCAATTAGGCAGCTTTAAAATGACTGTGATACTCAGCTCCTTCTAGACATTTACTGGTGTGGTTACAAACATGGTGAAGGCAAGAGAATGGTCCAGGAAGACAAGAGAAGAGGTGATTTCTCTTCACAGGAAGGGCAATGGCTATAAGAAGATTGCAAAGATGTTAAACATACCAAGAGACACCTTAGGAAGCATCATTCGCAAATTCAAGGCAAAGGGCACTGTTGAAACGCTACCTGGTCGTGGCAGAAAGAAGATGCTGACTTCGACTGCTGTGCGCTACCTGAAGCGTAGAGTGGAGAGAAGTCCCCGTGTGACTGCTGAGGAACTGAGAAAAGATTTGTCAGATGTGGGTACAGAAGTTTCAGCCCAGACAATAAGACGCACACTGCGTAATGAAGGCCTCCGTGCCAGAACTCCCAGGCGTACCCCCTTGCTGTCTCCAAAGAATAAGAAGAGTCGACTGCAGTATGCCAAAAGCCATGTGGACAAACCACAAAAGTTGTGGGATAGTGTTCTGTGGACTGATGAAACAAAATTAGAACTGTTTGGGCCCATGGATCAACGCTATGTTTGGAGGAGGAAGAACAAGGCCTATGATGAAAAGAACACCTTGCCTACTGTGAAGCATGGTGGAGGGTCAATCATGCTTTGGGGCTGTTTTGCTTCTGCAGGTACAGGGAAGCTTCAGCGTGTGCAAGGTACCATGAATTCTCTTCAGTACCAGGAGATATTGGATGGAAACGTGATGCAGTCCGTCACACACCTGAGGCTTGGGAGACGTTGGACCTTTCAACAGGACAATGATCCCAAGCATACCTCCAAGTCCACTAGAGCATGGTTGCAGAGGAAAGGCTGGAACATTTTGGAGTGGCCATCGCAGTCACCAGACTTAAATCCGATTGAGAACCTCTGGTGGGACTTAAAGAAAGCAGTTGCAGTGCGCAAGCCTAAGAATGTGACTGAACTGGAGGCCTTTGCCCATGAAGAATGGGCGAAGATACCCGTAGATCGCTGCAAGACACTTGTGTCAAGCTATGCTTCACGTTTAAAAGCTGTTATAACTGTAAAAGGATGCTGTACTAAGTACTAAGATTGAATGTCACTTGGGGGTTGAATAAAACTGATAATGCTGTGAGCACAGAAAAGACATTTGTGGTTATTTCATTAT